CTAAAGCCTCTGAAACTTAAACGTCATCTATAAAGGGAGGATAATGCAACCTACTTCAACGGCAGTAATTAAATTACACGTAAAAACAAGTAAAGTATCTAGCACAATGTGTTACGTGCTTCCATCCTGTTTAAGGGACATATGTGGCAGCAGTGATTTAACTTATTTTTTACCCAGTGTTCTCTCTGGAAATAACCCAGGAAATCTGCATTTGAAAAACATGCAGACCTACCCAGAACTGCTGGGAGAGGAGGAAATCTGCATTTGAAGGAAGGACTTGCAGGAAAAAAATGCCTGTTTTGCTTTTGAATTTTGAGCAAGCAGTTTGCCATCGGATGCATAGAGGCAGGAAAAGTCAGTGCCCATCAGAAGGACCCCCTTCTAGGACTAGAAGTTAAAGGGAGCCAGTGAGTAGACAGCCTGGTATGCTCGCTTGTGGTGACCACGTGAGTCCACTCGATGAGTGGAAGTGGGAGAGATGCAGTAATGAACAGATGGGCTGAGTCTGGACATGTTCCATTGGTACCCGCTGACCTAGTCCACAGAGGCTGGGGATGAGAGAAAGGGCTGGCTGGTCTGAAGTGCAGGGAGTTGTGTAGACTCCTGAGCCTATGGGGTGGTACCCACAGACTTAGCTGACAGTGGCTAGGAAAAGAGAGAAGGGGCTGGCTGGTCTAATGTGCAGGAAGGTGTCTGGACTCCCAAGCCTACGACTGGTACCCATTCACCTAACCCACAGGGGCTGGGGATGGGTGAGCAGAACCCAACCAAATGAAGAGAGAGAGAGATGTTTGACACCGTGAGCTGGCATAAATTGCTGCAACTTGATGACTTGCTCTGGACTGGACTTTGCTTATGGATGTAGATGCTCAAAGTTTCAACTGGAACAGAAAATTCATCACATCAGGGAACATGCCTGTCGCCTCAGAGTACTGGTTTGATACGAACGGGCAATTTAGAAATTGGCTATGTAAAACGGGGGACACAAAGGCATGAAGTGGCTGGCTAACATGCTTGTGTGGGTGTGCTTACACTCAAAATGAAGGGGACAAAGGAGGATCCCCACCAAATAGAGTCCTCTTTTCCTGATGGGTCTGGGGAAGAGAGACTGAGGGAAGATACTGATAGGTTTAAGTGATTCAGCTGTGAGTAATGATTGTTAACAGGGTTAATTGTAACTGTAAAAACTGTAATAGTAGAAGAAGTAACTGTGAAAGAGTGGACTAAGGAGAAGGTACTGCTGGACTGGAGTACAACGGCTGAACCTAAAGTCCCTTAAAGATTTTGCTGCGCTGATACCTTGAGAGAGGTTCACAGGAAGGGAATAATCTTCTCTCAGTTAAATTTTTTCTGACACCAGAGAGGGTGAAGCCAAAATGACTTTTGCAGAACCTGACCAGATCAGATGGACACCTGCAGCAGACTTGAATGGCTGGTACCTGAGTATCCTCACCCTGGGGACTCTGTGCACTACTGAAGGACTAACTGTTAATGACTGTTTGGGACTGGTAAAATGATTGGGAGGGGGAAGTTATCCTCCAAGTATGAAAGAACCATGGTTAGAAAAGCTAGGGGGTGGCCTGTGGTGTGATGGATCAATTTTTATATGGCCTTGCCAGCCATGGTTGTGTAACTCTTACCAAATGATTAGGGGGACTATGCCAATAAGGTGCTTGTGGCCCACCAAGGAGATTAGGCAGTTTGCTAATAATACAAATAAGGTGCATGGCACCTTGTGGGGGTGAGACCATGCAAATAAGGTATATGGAACCCTAACAAGGGGATTGGTCAGTTTTGCCACCCTGCTAGGCTTAAAAGAGAGCAAATCCCAGAGCAGAGGGGGACCTGACTACCACGAAAACGAGACGGGAGCAGAGCACATCCTTTGGACTTGTGCTGAGACCCTCCTAGACCCAGGAGACTGAGAGAGCTGTAACACTGGAGATGGCCAGACAGCGAGAAGCAGCAACAGGGAAACAGAGGCAGCAGAACCAGGAAACCAGGAAGAAACGGAGTGATGGGCTTCTCAGCCCACAGAGTGAGAAAGCTTTGTGCCTTCGGGCAGGAGGCTTCCTGGCAGAGTGAGATGCCTCCAGGCACTTAGTGTCGGAGCTAAAGAGCTTTGTAACACTTGCTCAAGCAGGGCAGAGGCTGGGCTGAGGGGCTGAGGGCCTGAGAGAGGCCCGCTTGCAGACACGGCTAAGAAGAGGCTGTCCTGATCGAAGAACTATATCCTGAGTCTTTCCTGTTCCTGAATTGTAACCTGTTATTTATTCCTAATAAAACCCATAATTGTGAGTATGGTCTGTGAGTTCTGTGTGGCTATTGCAACAAATTATCAAACCCAATAAAGAAGTAGAGTGCCATGGGAGGGACAGATGGTATCAGAGTTGTTAAAAACATTGGAGGGTGGAGACACGTCTGACCACCTCCTCATAGCAATCAGCCTTGGGCTGTTGATGCTGATAGTAATGATTCCTCCCCCTAGCAAAGTTAGAGGGGGTCAGATGCTGCCTCCTCACCATTCTTACACCCTAGATGATTTCATCCACAACTAAGGCTTTATCTGCTATCCACAAACTCATAACTCTCTAATTTGTATCTCCAACTCAAATTTCTTTCTGTAACTCAAGATTCATTAATCAAGATTTATAAATCAAACCGCCTACTAAATGTCTCTACTGGGATGTCCCATAAGAAACCAAAATTCAAAATCCTAAATTAAACTCACCTTTCCCCCCAAACTTGTTCATCCTTCTACATTACCTATGGAACCATTATCCACCAAAGACAAAAACCTGAGAGATTCCGCTTTCATCCCTTTTACTCCACACTCAAATCTTGCAATTCATCTCAAACTTTAAGTCTACCTGCTCCCCAAATATGCTGGGCAATTTCACACATTAGTGCTTTTAATACATTATTCCCTCTATCCAGAAAATCCTCTACTTCCTTCTTTGCTTAACTAACATCCTTTAGAACTGAGGTGAAGAATTATCTCCTCTAGAAAACAAAAAATAATAACTAGCATTTATTGAGTACATACTATGTTCTAGTCACTATATGAAACACCTTACATTGTCTTGACTATCAAAATACAGTGATGAAGTAGGTACTATTAGTATGTTTTTACAGATGGGGAAAGCTGAAAGAACTCACAGGAGATCAAAAATAGATAGTAAATAGTAGAAATGAGATTGAAACCCAGGGCTGTCTGATCCCAGTGCACCGGTCTTACGCTCTTAGCCACACCCACTACACCACAGGTTCTCTTTCCCACCTCCCCCAAAATCCCATAACCCCTTGCTAAATTAGGGGGTCACTCCTCGAGCCGCCATAAAGGAGGGACTGTGTGGCACACTGAAAATCTTTCGTTTATTTGTCTTTTCTCAAGTATGTGAGCTACTTGAAGACGAGGACAATTTCATTTACCTGTTTCCCTGTACAGAGTACAGTGCCAGGTATATGGTAGAACCTTAAGTACTAGGTTACTTCTTCCCCTCCCTTCTTCCCCTAAGCAGGGCTTTGAACCGGTTGGAGAGGGTTCAGTCATGGCCGATGAAGTGAAACCAGAACAGACTCCAATTTTTACAATTTGGGTGCTTTGGAACATTAACTGGAACAGGAAAAATTACGGGTCAAAGCCCTGGAATGGGAGACTCGAAAAGGCGTAGGGAGCCCTTTCAGGAGCCTGATGCATGAAATTTAATTATTGGCAGGGGCTGTGGAGAGCGACACACATTCAGAGCAGGCGCAGTTGCCTGCCATCTTTGAGAGGGGCACCAATGTTTCCAACTCTGCTCAAAATCCCACTAGCAAGAGATTTGGTTGCTGTGCAACTCGGACACTGCCCTTGTTTTTTAAGAGGCAGATCATGTTTCTAGCAGGGCTTCGACCTGTAATTTTTCCTGTTCCGGGTATCGTTCCCGTACACCCAAATTTTAAAAATTCGGGTCTGTTCCAGTTTCCCTTCCTCGGCCATGACTGACCTGGGAAGAATGGGTTCAAAGCTCTGCCCCTAAGTCAGAAACTATCTCTTCCCTTCTCCCCAAAATCCCACAGCACTTTACATCTCTCTTGGGACACTCATCTTCTACTTCATATAAGTATTTTGCATGTTTTATTTTCCCTGCCAGGCTATGAGCTCTTTGATGGCAGGGTATAGTTTTCAAATTTCTTTCTGCAAGGTACCTTTGCCTGTATTAACTGTTCAACAAATAACTGATGAATGAACTCGTAATCAAAACAGCTAAGTTTAAATGCAACCTTATGCCATTTGATTACTCATTCTGTATTTATATGCTGTTTAACTATTCATTTCTATTGTATAGGTTTCTTATCATCCCGATTAAACACTAGCCCCACTATTAGCAAACCATGGTTTCCAAGCCACAAAGGTCTTACTGATTAATTTATCAAACGTTTCCGATGCTAGGCTCTGGAGGAAATGCAAACTTGGATCAGAAAAAGGTTTCTGGTCTCTTAAGAAATTCAATCTAGTAATGACTCCCGAATCTAATATAGAACACTAGACTGTTCGAGTATGTCAGTCACGTGGCTCTGCAGAGTGGCGGCGATTGTCAACGTGGTTCCAGGGTCACAGAACAACACACTACACAACCAGCCCGTTGTCGAAAGCTCTGGGATTCGTTACGAGCTGCCTTGCCCAGCCATATCTTGCCCTGGGGGTGCAGAGGAGAGGTGGGGAAAGTGACGACCCATCTTCCCTCAGACCTGTGCATCCTCCCAGGCCCTGCATCCCAGGGCTTTCCACTTTTCCAGTTTACCCACCAGCCCAGCGGGGCGTCGCTCTCACCTACCCACCAGCCCACTGTCTCCTGGGGGTCCTCGGCCGGCTTTTCCAAGGACCCTCCCCTCTCTAGGTGGCCATGCAAATGTGGAACTGGAGTAAAGGCCTACACAAGCCACAGGCTCCCCTCTCCTTGCATCGCCTACGGACCCAGCCCGGGTTGTTCTCCTTTGCGTTCTCCGCTTCTCACCTGTTCGGCCGACACCGCCCCCTTCCCGGCGCCGCTACCGCTGCTCTTGCCGGCGCGACCGCTGTTCTCCGCCATTTTCGCCACCTGCTGGGTTTCCGGCCTGCGCAGCTCAGCCCCCGCCTTGCGTCACGTCCGGTCTTGGAGTTACCGCCCCCTTGGCCCCCCGGCGCTTTTGGCTCCGGGCCGCTCTTTGGATCGGATCCTGCGAATGGTTTCGGCTGTATCTTCATGTAGGACCTGCTCCCGGTCCCACCGGCCGCGGTGAATTCCACCTGCGGTGCTTTAACTTGTGCAGCAGAGACGCTGCCCTTGGGAGAGGCGGAGAAGGATGGGTTGACTGGAGGATGGGGGCACGAGTTGGGGGTCTGGTTTCTCGTCGCCGGGGTCGAGGGAGGGTGAACTTCCCCGCAGAGATTCTTGGTGTAAGGGGGGAAACACGCGTGTAGTCAATAAAGCTGTGCAGATGCACGGTCAAGAAGAGAGACCTGGGAAAATAAAGGAAGTTTCCCGTGGGTGACTTTTGAACTGCGGAAACGTTTGACAGAGGAAAAGGGCTTCGGTGTAATGTGAGATCGCTGTAGATCGAAGTATTCCGGCGCCCAGCAGAGCCCCTTCCTCTACCTTCCTGCTTTGTGATCTCTTCCTGTAGCCCATAATTAGAGTGTTTTGAAGACTTGGGAGTTTTTACTGGCAGGGCCCTGATTCAGCCTCACAGTGTGAAGGGAGAAGTTAGAGAATCCTAGAAATGTATTGCTTCAAGGAGGGATTGGTGTCCTGATTTCTCACCTTCCTCAGGCTGGGCTTCATCATCAGGCCTCGTCACCAGCTCCTGCCCCTCCTTCTGTGTCCTGGACTTCGGATACCTCGACTCTCAGTACTTTGTGCTCAGCCCAGGTAATATATTTTGTTGTGTCCTCAGTGCCTGGCACATAGTAAATACTCCGTTAATGTTTGTTAAATGAATGGATGGTGGGAGGCACAGGGGTGCCACCCATCCACAGAACATTTGATTGGTGAACCCACTAGGCCTGGGTCAGTTGCCCTGCAAGAGCAGAATCAAAGGGAAGTCCAGCCTTCCTGCCTCCCCATTTAAACCCTTATCATTAAACTTGGGTTTCCCCATGCTGGGATATCTGAGAATCCTGTCTGTGCCATTCACAGGCCCAGAGCCATGGCCATCTCCTCTTCCTCCTGGGAATTGCCCCTGGTGGCTGTGTGCCAGGTAACATCGACACCAGACAAGGAGCAGAACTTTAAAACATGTGCTGAGCTGGTTCGAGAGGCTGCCAGACTGGGCGCTTGCCTGGCTTTCCTGCCTGAGGCATTTGACTTCATCGCACGGGACCCTGCAGAGACACTACACCTGTCTGAGCCACTGGGTGGGAACCTTTTGGGAGAATATACCCAGCTTGCCAGGTATCAGGGAGAAGGGGAAGGAGAGGTAGCATCTTTGTTGGGCAGTATCCCTAGATTGCCAGATAGGATAGAGCCTTGAGTTGTCAGTGTCCCCTCCCCCTAGGGAATGTGGACTCTGGCTCTCCTTGGGTGGTTTCCATGAGCGTGGCCAAGACTGGGAGCAGACTCAGAAAATCTACAATTGTCATGTGCTTCTGAACAGCAAGGGTGAGACTTCACAACCCTTTAGCCTACCTCCTTCCAGGCTTTTCTACCTAAACTTAGATCCCCAGAATTCTGTTTTCTCAACTCTTTTAATTCCTTGGTCCAGGGTTTTATGGGTGTTTGTACTTCTGTTCCTAGCCTATAAACCATCTTCTCTTTGGAGATGGGGAGAGACGCTAAACTGGGCTCTAGAGCACCAACACTGATAATTCTTCTCCCTTTTACTCTAGGATCAGTAGTGGCCGCTTACAGGAAGACACATCTGTGTGATGTAGATATTCCAGGACAGGCACCCATGCATGAAAGCGACTCTACCATGCCTGGGCCCAGTATTGAGCCACCTGTCAGCACACCAGCAGGCAAGGTGGGAGTTTTGAGAGGATGAGGGTGAGAGAGGCACAAGAGGGAGGGGCGATAGGAATACTTTCAAAGTGGTGGTTAAGGGTGGAAAGCCCCAAGGAGTGGAACAGCTGGGGTCTGACTAGATGCTGTGACGAACAGGACATGGAGGCTAAATAGACTTTTCATTCCAGATTGGGCTAGCTATCTGCTATGACATGCGGTTCCCTGAACTCTCTCTGGCCTTGGCCCAGGCTGGTGCAGAAATACTTACCTACCCTTCAGCTTTTGGATTTGTTACAGGCCCAGCCCACTGGGAGGTAAGAGGACGCTTCTTCAAAACTTAAGGGCCTTCCTTTTAACCTCATTCTCTTCCCTTGGCCCTAATAATTGATAGATTTTCTTCCCCCTTCTACCTAGTGGGAAGGTCATTCTCCAGACTGTTGCCTAGCTCTCATATGTCACAGATTAATTCTTCCTAGGCAATTGTCATAACGGTCAGTGGGTAGAGTACACACTTGGCCGGTAATATCCGCCTCCTATTACTTTCCCACTAACTGCTACATGTAGTTAAGTGAACACACATCTCCTCACCCCCAGGTGTTGCTGAGGGCCCGGGCCATTGAAACCCAGTGCTATGTAGTGGCAGCAGCACAGTGTGGGCGCCATCACCAGAAGAGAGAAAGTTATGGCCACAGCATGGTGGTGGATCCCTGGGGAACAGTGGTGGCCCGCTGCTCTGATGGACCAGGCCTCTGCCTTGCCCGAATCGACCTCAGCTATCTACGACAGTTGCGCCAACACCTGCCTGTGTTCCAGCACCGCAGGCCTGACCTCTATGGCAGTCTGGGTCACCCACTATCATAAGCCTTTTGACTTCTGTGAGTTGAGACCCCTATTGTGAGCTGTACTGCTGCGACTTGTGGGCAGGACCCAGGTACAGCAGCCCTCACTTGGACAACGTTGATTCTTTTGATGGAACACAGGCTCAGCTTTTTGGGAAAGAAGGTTTCACCTGAGCTAAGATTTCAGTTTCAGAAAGGTGGAATTTTATAGTCACTGTTTATTTCATGAAAACTGAAGTTATGCTGAGGGCTAAGCATCACTGGCATTGAAAAAAAAAATGTAATCATCCTTAAGTCCTGTGTTTGGACATTTCCTTTGGGAGTTGGAAGGGGTGGTGGTATTGTACCAGCTGGACTGGGCTCTAGTTCTAGGCCTCCTGGCTTATTCAACATGCCTCCCGACCGAAATAAAAGTGCAACACTCAGTGCATGTCCCAGCCCCATTCTCCCAAGCTTGGTAAAGGGAGTGGAGAATGGGGAAGGAGAAAGAAGGGAATTGATACTGATTACTTCACTTCCACCTATGATGCCCTTTGCCCAAGTCAAAAGAAAGCAAAGGGGAAAAGGGCTGCAGGGTACATTATTTATTTTCACTTGAACATGGAAGGAAAATGCCACACTCCCCCTTCCCCTTTTCAGGGGGAGTGTATTTTAATCAGCAAACTCTTCTCCATCCACCCTGTGTATGTGTGTACACACATCACAGTTGGGAGGAGTGACTAGGCTGACCCAATCCTCTCACCTATTACTCCCTTGAAGAGAGATGACCAGGGAGAAAAAGGAAGGAGCCACACCAGGCAGAGGTTTCAAGCCGTGGAACGGAAGAAAGGAGGCAGAGAGGAGCAGCACCAGAGGCCAGGAGAGAGTGGAAAGGGCCACAGCTTCTGTTTTTTAAAAATTCTATAATTTGGGAGAGGGTGGTGATTAATTTCCAAAATACACTTCAGAGTCCCACCTTCCACGTAGCTCCCTTACTCACAGCCCTTCCATTTCTCAGACAAAATTTAAGAGCCCTCATAAAGCCAGAAATATTGATAACCCCTCAATGCACCCAAAAGCAGTGTTCACTTCAATCCCTTACAAAGACTGTTCTATAGACTTTGCTTCTCCCTACGCATTTGTCTTATGGTTCAGTGGTAAGGTGGCTGTAGAGACATACGGGGGTAAGTGGAAAAGGGAAATGAAGGGGAAGCCCAGGCACATGGGTACAGGGAGGGGCAGGGGATACCACTTCCACTTTCCTTTGTCTTTTCCTTTAAAAAAAAAAAACAAACAAACAAACAAAAGGCAGGGGATGTGACTGGAAGGGTAGAGAGCAAACCCCAGAACAGTATGTAAGCTCCAGAGGTGGGTGGTGGGAACAGTCCCCAGAGAGGTGAGGAGGGGGAAACGTCAGGGCAATGCTTGCAGCATCAAGTTCCTCAGAAGTTTCTGTCGGCCCAGCTCATAGTCCTCCTCGTCCACATTCACCAGCAGCTTGATGGCTTCGTGGCCCACAGCCTGCTTGAGAGAGTCTGTGATGAAGACACCTTTAAGTGCCTCTAGTAATGAACCATTGATGTAGTCGCGCCAGAATGCGTCGAGGTAGGTGAGCTCAGAGAACTTGATGTCACAGATGATGGAGCCCAGGTCCCGGGATTTGAGGATGGTGTTGGCCTGGTTAAAGCGCTCAAACTGGCGCTCAAGTGGGTCCTGCTTGTTAGAGAAGACATTGCCCTGCAGAGCAGTCTCATGCTGGCAGTATTCAGCCCGAACCCGCAGTCTGATGTCTGTGGGGAAGAGAGGGGAAAAAGAGGTTACAAGGAGGGATGAGTTTACAGCACAAGTTTGAAGCGGGGAAGAGAACAGCAGAGTAGCAAAGTAGGGAACATCACCTGACAGCTTCTCTACCTCTCTCACAGGATTAGTTCTTTTCTATTTACCTCTGAAATCCTTGCCTGAATGTAGGTGGTTCCTTTAAATGGGACATGCCCAGGTCAGCATTATTCCCATCACTCACAAGCAGTACCGTGCTTACAAGAAGACATATTCCTAACAGGCACAAAAGTTCATTTTAATACTCCATCCTGACTTGGTTCATCCTAGAATAGGGATGTCATAACAGCATCCCTTTGATCTAGTACTTGCTAAAAACTGAAATGTACTATGCTGCAAAGATAAAGGGGCATTCTTCTCCCAGACACTGTGCCATTCAACCTCCCTGTGCAACAACAATCAAAGTGAGCCTTGCACGGAAGAGCATGAACTGCCCAGTATACTAGAAGTTCTTTACATTTTCCCTCAAGTCTACTCCACCTCTGGAACCCTTGAACTTC